ATAAAAATAAAAATCTTTAAAGCTTTAATTCCTAAACATTAGAAATAAATAGATCTTCAACTTGACAGTAAAACAGCATTCTAAAATTTTAAATAAGAACTTAGTTTTATCCAGACCAGAAGCACTAAGAGTTTAAAAACAGATATTTTTAAAATAAAAGTGGGAACAGTCACTCACAGAGGAACATGAGAAGCAGCAAAGACAAGAAGAACAACACAAAAGAAACATCCATCAAGAAAAAGACCTGGAAAAAAACCAAAACTTAGAATTACAAATCAAATGAGGTTTGGCACAGTGGGGAAAGGGGAAGGGATGAACTAACTAGACAATCCAATGAGTAAGATAGAAACACTAAGACAGCTAGGAAAATAAAATCTGAATGTTGGATTTATATAAAAGATTGGAAATTCATTGAAGATTTAAACCAATCTATGAAGACCTAGGAATTGACACAGCAAACTAAAACTCTGCCAAGAGCCAGCAGAGAAGTACCCAAGGAAATATCCAAACACCCAATTACAGTTTGTTATTAAATATACTAAGTTTTCATATGAATGAATTCAAATAATTTATCAATAAGTAAAAGGAAATAGTAATCCTTTTCCCCTCTAAGTAATATATATGCCTCAGTGACCAGCCGACCAGTCGACCGGCCGGTAGCTATGACACATAATGACCACCGGCAGATGCTCAACGCACAGGCATGGAAACATGGAACAGACTGATGAATCTCAGAAGGAAAGGAGGAGAGGGGAGGGCGTAAAGAGATGAACCAAAGATCTTATATGCATACTAGAGGCTCAGTGCACGAATTCGTGCACCAGTGGGGTCCCTCGGCCTGGCCTGCGGGGATCGGGCTGAAAGCAGCTCTCTGACATCCCCTAAGATTCCTGGATTGTGAGAGGGCACAGTGCACCAGGCCTCTAGTATAAAATAAGCCCTACAGGTTTGGCTCAGAGGTTGAGCATCGACCTATGAACCAGGTCACACAGTTCAATTCCGGGTCAGAGCACATGCCCAGGTTTCGGGCTCGATCCCCAGCGTGGGACATGCATGAGGGAACCAATCAATGATTCCCTCTCGTCGTTGATGTTTCTATCTCTCTCTCCCTCTCCCTTCCTCTCTGGAATTAATAAAAATATATTAAATATATATATATATATACACACATAATAAAATCATATCTGTGTTAAAAACTTGGATGGTTAGTCTACAAAGACACTGAGAGTTACAATTTAGAAGTGGTAAAACATGCTCAATACTGATAATAATTTTGTTAAAATTGAAGGGATTCAAGTTGTATTGATGAAGGTAAGTATAATTATAATAAGGAGCTGTACTGCATTATGCTTTTGGAATGTCAAATTACCTGCACAGTGACTCCTGGTACCAAGACAGTGTCTACCACAGTGGTGGCCTGGAAGAATTATGGATCTGACAATGATGCTGGCCACCGCCCAGGAGCGCCATGAGAGGTGTGCCGACCTCCCCCAGACTTGGCAGAATCCAGCAATAGCCTTTATGCATCTATCTACCCACTTCCCACCTGAGTGACCCTGTCCGACGGAACTGGAAGATTACCTCTCATTGGGACAGGTGAGTGTGCAAATAATGTTTCTGAAAGATGGGAGATTATTTAATGAAGAGCTAGGGAATCCTTTTATCATAATTCACAGTATCTCACTGCTGAGAGCTAAAGAACATTCTACAGTTACCCTACTTCTTCAAACAGAGGAAGAAGAATTACACAAGAAAGGAAGTGGTTTCTTTGTTTCCTTGGAGTGGGCCACTCTCAGTAAGAAAAATAAAGATAATAAAACTATGAAGAATTCTTAAGTGTGATACTCTCCATGGAAAGTCAGGGCCACCTTATGCTGCTAGTGAGCCCGGCGGGAATGGTCTCATGACTGTCTCCCATCCTCCACATCCCTGCAGCTTGGTCAGATAGTGAAGAAAATGAGGATGAAGAGCTGTCAGAGAAACCAGAGCCTCTGCATCGCGGCGAACAGACTGGAGATGCCTGGACAGTCACATACGGCTTCCAGGAGACGGTGCTAAGAGGACCTTCAAGGACAGGTTTTGCCTGATCACGTCAACACTGTGCTGAAGGGTCAGAGGTTTTTGGGAGGAAATCTCTGTTCACTGGATAATAACGAGATCAGCAGCCTGAAGATTTCCTGGTTAAGAAGAATGAAGGACTGGCCTGGCCAGTGCTGCTAGTCGGTGATAAACAAGGGGAATTTGCAGACTCAGCCCGATGTGGTGCAATAGCGGAACGTTCGCTGCATTTGACCCCTGAAACTCTGAGCTTATCTCTCTCTCGCTCTCTCTAGTCCTGCTAAGTTCCTTGCTGCTACCCAACTAACAAAGAAAGCTCTTCATCACCTCCTCTTACTCACTATATACCGAAAAACATTGCCCAGTGGCATTTTCTTAGTCTAATGTGGCCCCTTTCACAGAAGGAATCCATGACAATGTATTCAAGTTTTCCTGTACTGAACAGTTTCTACTCTCAACCCACAACCACTATGATGGTCACGTGAACGGATCGAGTACCACACTAGGTCTACCAGTGCTCTCACAGGAGGGCGGAAAGGCAAACGCAGATAGATCAGCTTGGATACAGTGCGCACTCTTGATTCCACTATTGAAAACAATGGATTCCTGTACCACAAAATCTGTTTAATCCAGTATTTCTTAAACATTATAGAACTCAAGTAACACACTTTGGGGAAAGGCTCCCAACTCAAAAAAGACCCTAACAACCTACAACACTCATGCCTTTCGCCTCTGGAGCCTTTACCAGGTAATGCATTTCTTGGCCTAAGTCAAAATTAATTAGCAACCCAACTATTCAAAGTTGTAACTTTAAAGACACCTGGGTTACTTCTATTCCTATAATAATTTTCAGTAAATTATTAGCTTTGTGCAATATTACCAAATATTACCAAAATACCCTGGCTGGGCATTAATTTCTATACATCTCAATAACTTATTATTGTTATGAAATGTTGTTATCAAAACACATACCTCTTCTCTATAATACATGTCAGAAAAATTCATTTGCATAAAAATTTCCTAGTCATCTGCAGAAGTCAATTTATTAATTTGGTCTTACATCTAACAGAACTCTGGCATCTTGGGCTTAAAAGTTATGTAGATCAGGCCTAATGCAGATTGATCCTAATTTTAGTAATTATGTCTATCAACCAGGCGCACCAAAACCCTGAAGAAGAATGGCAGCAAAAATGAGCCATACATAAGTTAGAAAGAAGTCACATCTTTGCAACAAAGTCTTTAGCAGACACTTAACTGCTCTGTATGTCTGGGTGGATATCACATGAGAAACTTTCTTAATTGGAGAACAAGGTAAAAAAATGGTGAAACTCATATGCCAAAGAAGGAAAAAAACTTAAAGAGCCCTGGCTGGTTTGGCTCAGTGGACAGAGCGTTGGACTGTGGACTGGAAGGTCCCGGGTTCGATTCCGGTCAGGGGAACATGCTCGGGTTGCAGGCTCAGTCCCCAGTGGGGGGTGTGCAGGAGGCAGCCAATCAGTAATGTTCTCTCATCATTGGTGTTTCTATCTCTCTCTTTCTCTCCCTTCCTCTCTGAAATCAATAAAAATATTTTAAAAAAAAAACTTAAAGAAGAAGCATGAGTTTGAGATTCAATGTTTTTAAAAAGAAACAATGGCCTGGCAGGTGTGGCTCAGTGGTTGAGCGTCAACCTATGAACCAGAAGGTCACAGTTCAATTCCCGGTCAGGGCACAAGCCCAAGTTGTGGGCTCCATCCCCGGTAGGGGGCGTGCAGGAGGCAGATCAATTTCTTCTCTCTCTCATCATTGATGTTTCTATCTCTCTTCCTTTCTCTCTGAAATCAATTAAAAAATATTTTTTAAAAAATGTTTTTAGCCGAAACCGGTTTGGCTCAGTGGATGGAGCGTCGGCCTGCGGACTGAAGGGTCCCGGGTTCGATTCCGGTCAAGGGCATGTACCTTGGTTGCAGGCAATCCACAGTGGGAGATGTGCAGGAGGTGGCTGATCGATGTTTCTCTCTCATCGATGTTTCTAACTCTCTATCTCTCTCCTTTCCTCTCTGTAAAAATTCAATAAAATATATTTTTAAAAAAAAAATGTTTTTAAATAAACAATGATCAGAGCAACTTCAAAGTGTCAAGTTCACACTTCTCTAAGGATTCTGTAAGAGCTGCTCAAATCAATCAGGTCGTAAACAGCAGATTAAAAATGAGTCTTAAGATACGAGAAGTACTAGCAATCTGACATTCTGTTGTGGTTGCTTCTGTAAAATTACACCCCACAAAAGTGCTTCCATTCGCCTCTCTTGCTAGTGTATGTAGGACCCAAGTTTCCGATGAGGCAGCAGCGCCCCACCGTTCGCATGCTCCTAATGAAGATGCTGTCCTGCAGAAGAATCACGGTAAGAACCCTCACTGACTTCCCTATTTGCACAGGAGCTCAGGAATGAAACCAATTTAAGGGCATTTCAGATGAGACCAAAGTAAAAAGGACAATAACCATAAAAGACTCACTCTGACGGCTACCTAAGGAAAACAACGTCAGTCCCACAACGATGCGATTGGGGAGTGGCCAGCAGGCAAGTACTGTTCCCAAGGAAACGTCAATAATAATGAATTTTGATCTTTTGAGTGTAAGGGATTTCACTTGAAAGAGCATAAGACACCATAGCAAGAAACTCCCAGTTGGCCTTGCGACCCCTTTGTTGTCTTTAAATCCTCTCACCAGGTAGCATCCCAGCTACTTGCAGTGAATCACAACAGGTTCACACACACTCAACTCCGTTAAAAAAGGTAACCAGGACACCTGTGAATCAAATCCCCTCCATACACATCTAGCAACACAACTGGTCAAGACAGACAAATGTCTGAAACAGGAAATACACAGAGTAAAGATTTCCTCAGCACCGGCTGCTCATGGAGAGCGGCGGGAGCGAGGGCAGCTCTGTGGTCAGAGAACTTACCGTCACGGACTTCAGCGTCATCCCGTGGTAGGTGCCCATCGTGTCAATTTTGAAGCCTTCCGTTTCTATAAAGAAAGAGGGTTTTCTATTAGACTTTATGTATTTCATGATCAATCACAAATCTAAAGTAATAATCCATAATATATCTTAACAGGTCAACAGTATAATAAAACCTTGAATCTACCGTACACATAAAGGTAAATCACACACTTCTGAAGATAAAAACTTAGAAGGGTATTAGTCTCAAAAATATATTCAATACACACCCAGTGTGCAGAAGCTGGTTAACACTATGTCTACAACTGTGTTCAATACTCACATTGGTTGAAAGTATTAAAAATTTAGATTGAGCCCGCTGGCATGGCTCAGTGGTTGAGCATCAACCTATGAACCAGGAGGTCATAGTTTGATTCCTAGTCAGGGCACATGCCCAGGTTGTCAGCTCAATCCTCAGTAGGGGGTGTACAGGAGGCAGCCAATCATTGATTCTCTCTCATCATTGATGTTTCTCTCTTTCTCTCTCTTACTCTCTCAAATCAATAAAAATATATTTTTTAAAAATTAGATTGAATAAAATACTTTATAATTTAACCCCCAAGTTATTTACATCTAACACTCAATTACAGCACCACTAAAAGCACCTACTATCCTAAGAAGTCCTTAACATATAGAAAAAGTCATGTTCAAAGATGACAATGATTAGGTATGTACACTGTGGAAAAGCAATGCTGTAAACAGATAAGGGTTCCAGGGCAGGGTCCCAATATGCCTTTCTGTAAAGCGCCACATACTAAACATGTTACACACTGCAAGCCATACAGTCGCTGTCACACCAGTGACTTCTGCAGTGTGGTGGCAGAAGCGAGATAAACGAGGGTCAGAGTTGGTCTGTGGGCGGTAATCTGCCAACCCCTAGAGTGCACATTATTCATTCCACAAGAAAAGCATCGCAGTGAATACAAGAATGGACCAGTCTACACCCTGTGTTTTATACATGCCTTTGTCCAGTAAAGGAAGTCAACACACAAAATTCACTGCATCAAGGTAACACATCCTTTAATGAAACTTAGGTTTCAGATGATGCAGAAAAAAATGACAAATGTTAAACTTCCAGGTGCTACTACCTCATTTTTTCATGTATCAAGTCAAGATAAACGAGCAGTTACACCGACATTAGTCCCACTTACTACCCACCTCACCAGCGTGGCTTGACCCTGCCGAGTTAGCCAGTACCCCACGTGGGCTTCCACAAAACACCACCTCAGGCGCTGACCAATCCCCGCCTCCCAAGCACTCATTGTACACATTCATAATCCGGGGAACATGACTGATGGAGAACCGCCCTCTAAAATCAACTTCTGAGAAGCAGCACTAGCCCTAATAGCCAATATAATATATATATATCATGGTTAATTACATACCAGTCACGGACTCCATGGACTTTATATTACCTAGTTCAATCCCCACAGCAGCTCTGAGAGGCAGGCACTGCACTGCCACTGCTATTAGTACTGCCATGTCACAAGGGGGGAAACCGAGACACAACGCAGTTAAAGTCACTTCTCAAAACTCACACACAAAGTGACTGTGACAGAAGCAATCTGGGTTCAGAATCCATGCACTGAAGCAGGGGAGGCAAACACATTCTGTAAAAACCAGATGGTGTCTCTAGGCTTTGCAGACCACGCAAACCCTGTCACCACTCACTGCCGCTGCCACAGCACCCGGGAGCCATGAGCAGCACAGAACGGAGGAGCGTGGCCACTGCAGATGGGGCCTGCCAACTGCGGCTCCAGCGTCAGGCCACCTGCCTCTCACGTGGAGCACAACCCAGGAAAAGAAAGATAAACACCACGTCACTTGCCTTCTTTTCCTTTGAATCTTTCCTGGTCATATCTGTTGTAGGCAGCTGGGATAGGCTGTTTGGTACGCAATGTGGGGTCCTGTAGAAAAATTAACCATGATTTACATGTTAATAGTCTATTGTTACTTAATATTCATCATAAAAACCACAATAATATTGTTTTCTAAGCTTTTATTCTTACCATAGCAAATAAGACAAAAGTGGGAAGTAGACAAAATGAATCATCGATGCTTATTTTCAAGATACTGTTTACGGCCAGAAAACCGCCACCGTCAGGGCAAAGGACTCTAAGTAAACGTGCACCAAGGCAGAAAGCAAAGCTTCTTAGAGATGCAGAAACAAGATGGCGTGTGCTTAGGACTTTCCTCCCAACTCCTTACATCTCTTTATGAATAGTAAGCTTCCTCCAATTATGAACTGTTTCTTTAACAAAAAAAAACCCACACACCCTTTTAATTCAAAGTTTATGGAGCTGGCATTTTAGAGCCTCTTAACTGAATTATTCTCCAAATTGTTAATCTTTAAATGAATATAATGACAATGACAACTGTAACAACAATCCTATATAATAAAAGACTAATATGCAAATCGAGTGACCGGTCGTTCTGCTGTTCTGTTGATTTGCATATTAGCCTTTTATTATATAGCAGCGGTTCTCAACCTGTGGGTCTCGACCCCTTTGGTGGTCGAATGACCCTTTCACAGGGTCACCTAAGACCATCCTGCATATCAGATATTTACATTACGATTCATAACAGTAGCAACATTACAGTTACGAAGTAGCAACGAAAATAATTTATGGTTGGATCACAACAGGAGAAACTGTATTTAAAGAGCCAGAAGGTTGAGAACCACTGTTATATAGGATTATGGACTTGGGCAATTTCAACCTATGTCTCAGTTTTCTCACCTATCAAATGGGAATAATAATATTTTTGCATCACAGGATTCTTGGGATGACTAAGTGACAAAAAAGCTGGTATATCTCTCAATAGCTGATTATGGAAATAAAATATTGCTATTAAGTACATTTATTATATTGTAACATTAAGTATTTATGTAATTAATAAAATATTATTATGGAACACTCTTCACCAGGATCAGGATGATCCCTGTGATATTCTAATGGAGACCTCCTTCCTGGTAGGCACATGACTGTTTAACTATTATTCATTGACCTATTAACCAATTTCAAAGCCCAACCAGGAAGAAATAAGATTACTTTGTTACGAGAGTCAACACAGGTATGTCTCCAGGCAAGAATTACTGCTCAAGTAACGCCTAATGGTGAGAAGGATTTTCACATCCTTTAGATATGTTGAAGCTGCATAAGGTTTAGAAACCACTAAATGAAAACCTCTGATTACATGTCTTCAAAATTATAATCCTGGAAACCAAGCGTCATTTTCAATAAAACCACAGCGTAGGCAGTAAACCATTCTTACCACAGGTGCCGCATTGGGGGCCGGGCGCTGCTCAGGCGCACGCCCTTCTTCTCTGGCTTTCACAGACTGAAGAATTGCAAAAATATTCTTGGAAAAGTTCTAAAATAAAACAAGACAGGTGTGTTGTCAAGAGAGGATTAATTCTGAATCAACTACTACAACAATCCCCTCATCCTCAGGGGACATGTTCCAGAACTCCAGTGGATGCCTGAAACCGCAGAGTGTAAAAACCCTAATCATCTCTTCAACTCCGCCAGAAACGCGCAGCGGCTTCCTCACGGGCAGGCACAGCTTCTCCAGGACTTTAAAAAAAAACAACTTAATTGTTGAAAGCATTACATCTGCCCCGCCCCCATTTTTTCTTAAATATAGTTTTAATTGATTCTTATTTTTTACTTTCCTAATTTTAATTATTTTTTTAAGCTCCAGTAATTTTTATATTTTTCAGTCCAAACCGATTCTTGGACTGTGTAACCATCCCTTACTCCCAAAAAATGGCTTGACGTCACTCATTCCAGGGGATCCCTGGCTGAAACCTCAATGCTTTCTGGAGCAGCCCTTTGTTTGAAAAACTATTTTCCAAAATGCACAAAAACTAAGGACAAAAAAGAGCGGCACTATTTAAAATTTTTGCAAGGCTCAATGTCTGGCTTAATAGAAGAGAGCTGTATTTCTACAGTTAATAGCTGTTTTATCTTGTTTGGTTTTGGTCTAAGTATATGAAAGAAAATCTGGCCTCACACGGACAGCTGGAGAAGGAGTATTACAATAGCTTTTCAAGGGACTGGATTTTCTCTGACATCACGCCAAACCATATAAAGATCTCATCACAGCCATCATCAGTGGCAAAAACACATGGCCGGCCGCGAGCAGAGCGGCGCCAATGCCTGTTCGTGCCAAGAGGCCAGCAGTGCACCAGGTCCCCCATTCACACCGACAGTGCAAAGGTCAACACAGTGACAAATGCAAATGAAGTCTTAATCCAAACTTACTATCAAGTGATGAAAATCCATTCTCACTACTGTAAATATTACATAGTACTGTGTGAGAGACACAGAGTCTGGAAAAATCAGTCAAAATGTTAGTTATCAGCTATTTTTGTATGGCGGAAATAATCTCTTTTTGTCAATTTTTCAACAATGAACATATACCAATGTACACACGTTTAAAAATGTGTTTTTAATGGCATTATAAAATCTGGTTGCTTTATGTGGAGTGCCTGAAATGACCATAAGAGTACATACTTACTATTTCCTATGGACTCTTCAACCTATCTTTTATTCCAAAAACCCAGAAAAAAAAGGTCTGTCTAAAATCTTAGGATCTTGTACGGCTATGAGTACCTAGAAAGTTTTGAGTTTAGCAGGAAAAAAACAGTATACAGAGAAAATACCAGTCAAAATAGTTCTTATTTTAAAAATGGTAAAACAGAAGCAAACCTAGCTACCAAGCAATTCTTCAATTAACCTATTTTTCAAACTGTAACAGTGGTACCAACACTAAATTAAAACACTAAGTTTTCAAATGATGGTACAATCCTGCCACCTAGAGCTCAATAAAAATTGTTCATCTCAGTTATCTGAAAACGTAATGTTTGGTCTAAAAGGAAGGTGGGGCATATCACCTATGTTTCATTCCATTACTGTAAGATTCAGATTTTTCAGCAGTTATAATAAATGTTGGTAGAACAATGCAAGTCACAATATTCAACTATGAGCCCCACCTTCGGCAGTAAGAAGGAGTATTAAACAGATCATTTACTGTAAACACACAGCGGAAGTTTACTCCCGCTGGATTATGGATTGCTTCTCCATAATCCAAGGTCTGGGGAACGAGTCCTAGTCCTGAGTTCAAGTGCTCTGCACAAGTCAGAGCACAAGTCCTTCCTTCCCATTCTCTTTTCTAGCAGCTGTATTCCTGCTCCAATGGTGGAGGGAAAGTGAGGCCAGAACCCAACATCTGCAAATGAAACTCCCATGAGCATCAGTAATCTCACACTTCTACAAACCTTCTTACCACACATCATTACTAACAACTGGGCATCAGTGGAGAACGAACATTTAGGAGAACACTGGGCGGTGGGGGAGGAAATGACAGCTGAAACTATGGAGCCCCTTAAGATACGGACACACCCAGCGTCTTTCAAAGTTTAAAGCACGCATCTCCTTCAACCAGCAATTTGCTTCTGAAGTTGAAACTTGTGCTGTATGCACATGGATGCAGAGGTTTATGTACAGGGTGTTTTTAATGCATTATTTGTAATCGTGAACGGGAAAGGGGGAAAGAAGGGAGAAGGGAGGGAAGAAAATCCCATAATCCAGCAGCAAAAAAAAACAAAACAAACAAACAAAAAAAGCCAAAGAAAACAGCCCTGGCCAGTGTGGCTCCGTGGATAGAGCATCTGAGGACTGAAGAGTCCCCGGTTCGATTCCAGTCAAGGGCACATACCTGGGTTGCAGGCTCCCAGCCCTGGTCGGGAGCATGTGGGAGGCAACCAATCGATGTCTCTCTCTCACATCAGTGTTTCTCTCTGTCTCTCCCTCTCCCTTCCACTCTCTCTAAAAAGCAATAGAAAAAATATCCTCAGGTGAGGATTAAAAAACAAAATGGCTCCATTAATAAGGAACAAATAAATATTGGTATATCCACAAACCAGAATATAATATATAAAATACATGCAACAAATGTTCACTGACTCATTTTCCCAAGTTCTCTACTTTGTGGAGACAAAAATTAATAAACAACCAGAGAGCTCGACATCAATATTCCCTGTTCACTGGGTTTACCCAAAAATCTGGTCAACAGGAAAAGTGGACCCCTCCTGGGATTGACAAATGAGGGCAAATCAAGACAACTTTCTCATCAGCTTCTTTGGTGGCCACCAACCCACCCCAGGGTAGACTACAATGACTAATACGCCTAGAAACCCACCTTACCCTGATCCTTCAGAGGTGAGCGTGAACCTCCCAGAGCGAACCTGAACCGCTTTTATAAGCAACCACAGGTTCAATCCGCACTCAGTGCACAAACATGTCAAACCTCTCACCTTCCCCGTGCTCTGCAGGATAGTGGTCCGTGTCCTCCACACTCTCTCTCTGCTGACAATATCCCGGGTCACATCTACCTCGGCGTCCACAAAACTCCTCTGTTTGAGAGCAGTTATGTCATCATCTAAGTCGGTCTTGATGGTAGATCTTTTCTTGGCCATAATTTTGGCTTTGATTGCCGCAATTTTTTCCACCGACATAGCTTCAGACAAAGACCTGAAAGCAATTCATTTTTTAAAATTTTCACAGCAAGGATCTCTTGAGCACATCAAAATACACTGGGTTACATTTGTAAGTTCACGGCAAAAATACTTTAAGTGGCAATAATTAAGGTTTTCTTCTTATCTATAAAAATGACATACTTCATATTTTATGATCACGTAAGATTTTATAGAGAGCCCCTGTAGAAATATTACTAATTTCTTAGAAGGGCCAATGCAACAGAAATCTTCACATTTCTTCATGTCTTCCCCACCCAAAATAGAACTCATTACTATGGGTGCTTTAATTTGTATTTTTTCTGATAGTTTCATTTGTTTACGTCCCTCTACCTATGCAAAGGATATACACACACACACACCCTTGGAAGGGACTGGGGGTGAAAAATTCATTCTGTAAAGAATGCAAAACTTAGGTTTTCCCTGAAATTTACTTCAAAGGTTTCAAACCTCTATGTCATAATGTACAATATATTGTAACGGGGCTTTTATGTACCACATAAACATACATTCCTTTTCATGTCTGGAAGATGAAACCATATTTTGATGCTTCCTTTTCTTTACTTGATTTTCAAATAATAGGCAAAACAGAAAACAGAGACTTTCAGAACCATAAAAAAAGACAACACTGAGTACAGATTTCATTAAGATAACAATCTTAACCTTGGTGTCATGTTCACAATGTAAAATGAGAGAAAATTAAAAAGTGTTTGGGTACCTTAACAGTTGATACCGTAACTGGTTTATTTCTATTAGGATGCAGGTGCTTTACAGCAGATGCTGAAGATGCTTCTAGTACTTGACTCATTTTCCATAATACTGTGCAACTTTCCCTAAAAACCTAAGGCATATCAGCATACCTTCAGCCAAATCAAATACTTTGCCAAATTATAATGAAACATGCATTAAACGGACTTTCCCATCCACTTACACACCCACACCGCCTTCTTTCTGCTAAAGGAATTCTTACCTAATCTGCTCCGTCTGCACAATCCCTTCCTTGTGGCCCTCCAAGCGAGCAGCCAGTCTCTCCTTGTCAAGGCGCACACACTCTTCATCCTGGAAAGTCGCAGCTCAGTGAGTATTTTAAAGCTTTAATGTTTAGAACGAAAAAACACTACACGTAACTTTCCCTCACAGATACTTCTGCCTACCAAGTTCCAGGCATCCCTAGTCCTCTGTCAACTTCAAGATTACTTTCACTTACATAAAGACAATAATAATAAATATACATTGGATCACATAAGAGTAGAACTGACTAATCAAAAAACTTCAATTACTTTTTTCTATGATTAAGAGGTCTTCACATAAAATATCATAGCTACCTTTATTCAGAAAGATAGCATACAACAGATAAATTCCTATTCTTCGGGAAAGTTTATAACTACATTCATAAAAACTTTCACCACAGTCAAAATCTCATTTTTGGATCTAGATTGTTTTCATCTGTTGCCACAGGTCCTGACACCACCAGGACAGATCAAAACACTAGAAGTGAACCTTTAATGGCTTTCTAGCCTGTTCCTCCAAACATTAGGAGTTGCCTACAAGGTGCCCTTGGGCCACTTCATGTCTGAACTCAACCTTTTACCTAATTTGCATATTAGATTTTCAGATAAAATTTCGTCTGAAAATGTTTGGTTACTTAAAAAACAAAACTGAGTAAACTCCGACCTAATTTAATCTCCTCACTCAACAAATGAGAAACCTGAGGACCAGAGTCAGTGTCTATGACCAATGGGATAGGAAACTGCATAAAAACCATCAATGCATTTGAGGTCTAAAACGATGCCATGCTCCAATTCAGCTCTAATATTAATCTTTCATGTGAAACTCGTAAAACAGACATGCTGCTGACATGACTGCAAGGATAGTATTTTAGGAAACGCCATAAATGTTTGCCATTTGTAACAAAGGCATAAACATACTACCACTCAAGTTCCATTGGAGACTCCTTGCAGATTTTAAAAACAACTGCAGCCAAATTTTAATCAGACCAGAACCCACCTCAAGGTTTTTCTCTCCCAGAATAGTGCCTTGCAGGCTCTCAATCTAAAGCTGCTACAGTGAAAACTGTGTATGCAGTTGGCTGTGTAGATATTAACTCATAAATGCTCTGGAAGAAATTTTGTTATGCTATTTCCTGCTGACTTTTCAAATTACCAGAATCCTAGAAAATTAGCATTTCTGACTTGTTCAATTCTTTTGATATTTATACTGTGGTTTTTTTGTTTTGTTTTGTTTTTTAAATATATTTTATTGATTTTTTACAGAGAGGAAGGGAGATAGAGAGTTAGAAACATCGATGAGAGAGAAACATCGATCAGCTGCCTCCTGCACATCTCCTATTGGGGATGTGCCCACAACCAAGGTACATGCCCTTGACCGGAATCGAACCTGGGACCTTTCAGTCCACAGGCCGACGCTCTATCCTCTGAGCCAAACCGGTTTCGGCTATACTGTGGTTTTAAGGTTTTTCTAAATAAATAGTTTCCTTAAATTCACTCATTTTGCATAGAGTGTCACCGCCTCCTTTCATACAGAGAAATTTGGGGTATTTCAGTTTTCGTGCCACAAAATCTGTAACCAGTGGAGGTACAGGTATGAATCTGTACCCACAGAGTCATAACAAGGAGCTAATGACCATTGTTATCGGTCCTAAAATACAGAGCCATGTCTCAGAGTACGCTAATTAAAATTACATTGTTTTGCCATCAAATATTGCCCATAATTTTGTTTTTACTTACCAACCAACCCTATTCCTTTAACAGCCACCTTTCTTATCCTTAACTACAGATGTTCTGCTACTTATAAAGCTGGCAAAAGGTACAACCAGTTGGCACGTGGGAAATAAAATATCGGGTTCCTGATGATGCTAACACTAGTGATGGCTATGGTGTCATTCCTATATTTTTCATTGATATACAACCAGCTTAGTCATTTTTCAGATCTTCAGTGTGGCCCTGCTGTACAATCCTCCGTTTTCAGTGGGATTTACACGTGACTGACCTGGAGCTTGTGACAGCTTTAAATAAATAGTATCATAAAATTCCCAGTCGTAGGCAGTACACTAGCTAGTCAACAACTGCTCTTTCCAAAGGTAACCACCTTTCTTAGGTGACTTCTGTTGCAGGCGAAGAACTACCTTATTTACCAATATTAACCGTCTGCTTAGCGGCTGTAACATGCCAACCTGAAGTGTCAATATTTCAAGAAATAACTGTAATAAGCACTTTATAGTCACTGCTCCTGCGAGTGAAGCCAATTGCCACAGCACCTTACCCAGGGTTAGGCAAACTCCAACCCGAAGGCCCAATGTGGCCCTCCATCTGTTTTGTAAAATTGTATTGGAACATATTGGAGTGGCTGAACAGAGACTAAATTACCCAAAAAGGCTAAAATATTTACTATCTGACTCTTCATAAGTTTGCCAACCCCTGATCTATTCCAACACTTCCATCAATAAGGAATATAAAGTCATTTGTCCACCACATAGCTTTATTCTAAATCCCAATTTCTTTAACAATACGAATCGTCTTTACAATAAAACTCTACTACCTCAATTCGTGGTTTCTTTGCTTCTGCTAAAACTTCATCTGCAGCTCGTTTGACTGTAAGAAAAAAAAGCAATAAATGTATAGTTTGGGAATAGGCTCTTAAAAGTTCAAGATAAACGTTCAACAAGACATACCTTGAGTAGATCGCTGAAGACCTATTTCTAGAGGGGCACTTCGGTCTATACTTGCCGACGTTGCTGAAGATTTAAAAAGATTTGTGTGAGGTCAATATCTGAACATATATAGTGGATGTTACTACAAATGAAAAGCTCAAGGAGTTTTGGGGTTTTTTTTGGTATATTACTTTATATACAATGATTTCCTAAGTAAAAAATAAGTTTCAAAGCAGCCTTGTAAATGCATTTTATTTTTATGATCTCAGAGGGATGCAGGGAGGAGGGAAGGGAGGGAGGGAGAAGGGGAGGGAGGGAGGGAGGGAGGGAGAGAAACATAGATCGGTTGCCTTTGGCATGCACCCTGACTAGAAAGCAAACCTGCCACCTTTTGGTGAACAGGACAACACTCCAGGCCCATGAATAGAGGGTCAACCTGCGGACTGAAGGGTCTCGGGTTCAAGTCCGGTCAAGGGCACATGCCCGGGTTGTGAGCCCGGGGGGGGGGGGGGGGGGGCGTGCAGGAGGTAGCCGATCGGTGATTCTCTATCATTGATGTTTCTCTCTCTCTCTCCTTCTCCCCTCCTCTCCGAAATCAATGAAAACATATTTTTTTTAAAAATTAATTTGTATTAGAAAGCCTATTAGTAGGACCATCTATGGTTAACAATTTAACTTACAAATGATTGATATAATCTGACTAAAATCAACTGGTCAAAGCACACACTCCAATATCACAGCACGTGCACATAGCAGTCAGTCATTAGTAAATACACATACATACACGAGAGAAGCGTTATTTGTTAAGTTAGCCTTCACTTTGTAATGCAATGTTTACTCATAATTGAGAAGCGTTATTTGTTAAGTTAGCCTTCACTTTGTAATGCAATGTTTACTCATAATTGGTAAACAAGTTATTTTAAACCAAACTAAGCCATTTGATTTTGAATGGTTCAAAATAAAGGCAGGATAACCCAGGGGTGTACCTGTCCCTTCACCTAGTCCCACCCCCTCATGTGACTACTGCTAATCTCCTGGGCAGCTTTCTAGTTTCTTCTGTAGACCCAAGAAATACACAATCATACTTTTATTTTTCCCTGTTTTTACACAAAAGATAGCATACTACACATTGTTCTGAGCTTCCTTTATGTGGAGCGTTTTTTAACTTTTTTTATAGCTGCACAGTGTTCTACTGTATGGATTAATTGTAATTTCAAGTTCCCTGTCAATGGGTAGTTCAATTCTGTCTTTTGCCAATACAAGCAAGGGCACAATGAAAACTTTATAAATACACTGCTTTGTCCATTTCCAAATACAGCTCAGGATAACGCCCCAGGTGCAGGATTTCAATGTCGTTTTGGAATGATTACTGCAAAATTTCTTCAGTGGGGATTGTATCAATTCACACTAAAACCAACACTGTTTGAAAATATATATTTCCTCACAGCTTCAGAGTGTATTATCAAGCTTCCATATTTTAATCGATTAAAAAAAAATGCTTCTCTCTATAGTTTGTTTGCAATTCTATTATTATGAGTGAAATGAAGCATTTTTCACATTATTTTATTTCCTTTTCTGTGAACTGTGCGCACATAATCCACTGGGGTTATGTTCTAAGACCACTTCATAGTATTAGTGAGATTGGCCCTTTTACTTTAATATGAGTTGAAATACCTTTTCCCAGTCAGTCATTTTTGTATAATGCCACAACTTTTACTTTTTACCAACATACTAACTCAGCCGTGGGCAAACTACGGCCCACGGGCCAGATGCGGCCCGTTTGAAATGAATAAAACTAAAAAAAAAAGACCGTACCCTTTTATGTAATGATGTTTACTTTGAATTTATATTAGTTCACACAAACACTCCATCCATGCTTTTGTTCCGGCCCTCCAGTCTAGTTTAAGAACCCATTGTGGCCCTCGGGTCAAAAAGTTTGCCCACCCCTGTACTAACTGAATACTCCCACCTTTCACCACTAATTGGAAATGTCTTTTTAATCACATTAAACTCACACACCTTATCATCTAACAAAGAAGTTGTTCTATCAGCTTATTCTTTCACCTTTGAATTTATTAGGGCTTCATTGTAAGTTCTAAACTCTGAAACGGCAGGTATTTTCTTACTGCTCTTTTTCAAATTTTTGTGACATTTTATCAAGTGAATTTTAGAATCATCTTTGCTAGTTCCACCCACCCCTCCGGATTTTTATTGGGGTCACATTAAATATACAAATATGTCAAGAACTGATATCTTCCAGCTGTTATGTCGTCCTCTGAGAACATGGAATTTCTTAAGATCGGGTCAACTTTTTCATTAAACCACAAAACTAGCCTTTTTTTTTTTTAATTAGCAATGCACTTGAAGACCAAAATGATCTCTCCCACAGAAACTGCAGGAAGTGATGAGGATGGATAAAGGGCAATTCTGTTCTGGAAAAAAACACCCTTTGCTCGAAAGCACTGTCCCCAAACGAGCCTGTTCATCTGACAGCGCCCAGCGCAGCACTGAGACCGAGCCCTCGGTGAGAGCCGGCCGAGCTCAGTGAGGACAGCACAGGCCCACGCTCCTGATGATGGTCTTTCCACGACCCGGGGACTGTGCAGAGCACCCTCACTGGTACAGCCGTGGAGCAGGACGGGTGACAAGACACCGACTAAGGACTTCAAGACCAAACATTTCTCAATCACTTTATTCATGCTCTGCAGGATGCAAATGAAAACGGACTCACTTATCCAGGTAAGCACTTCCTGTTAAGCATGTTCTAAATGCTGGGTATTAACGACTGCCTGCCCCCTAGAGTTTATCCTCTCGTGGGGGAGACAGACAATATCTAAGTGAACAAATAAATGCATAATTTCAGGTCAACCTAAGGGATGTGATGAGAAGTAAGTCAGGAAGGTGCGTACACAGACGAGGGGATGAGGGAAAGCAGGGTTATATTTAGTGTAATCGGGTGAGTGCTCCCTGACAGACCACAGATCGGAACGGAGTGGGAGAAAGGGAGAAAGTGTCACAACTGAGAAACAGAACTGAACACAGAAAGGCAGCAAGTGCAAAGGCTCTCAGGTTAGAACAGCTGACAGAGCCAGTAGCACTGGACCGCCCTGAGCAGGGGAAGACTGGACGAAGATGAGGTTAGAGATTTAGGCGGAAGCAAGATGGTGTAGGGCTGGGTAGGTGTGAAGGGAAACCACAGGATGGCCTTGAACAGGGGACTGACAGGAACAGGTGACTA